TGTCCGAATTCGTCATTTGACCATCCCTAAAGGAGAAGATTAGGGTTTTCCTAATGAAAATGACACTGCGGTTATGATAATGATAATGTATGCTCCTACTTGGAGAACCCTATTCCTGTCCATCGGCCAATGTTTTTGCTGGAAATTTCGAAACGAACGTCGTTCTTGGCGCTATCGTAGGTCCACGAAGCTCGGTAATCGCAGTCATCTCCAGAGCAACCAGCAGGATATTGATACGAGTTCTCACATGCAGAGTTAGCTGAAACAGATCTCCTACTATGACGGGTACGGTAGTAATATGGGATGAGATGGGTTACAGCGCGCTGCACTAACCATTCTTTTTGGAATGTTTATGAGAATTGTATATGCAATTTTTTTCAACGACATCAATTCAGGGAGACGACAGTTCTCACGTGTTCCCAGTCCAGAGCCCATGAGAGGACCTGGCAAGGAAGTAGGACAGACCATTCCCCAGATCTCTCAGGTAAATATTTATCCGGACAACCAGCAGCTAGCAAGTAATAGCAGAATAAAAGACGTTCAATCGTTCTCAATCTCTCAATTCTTATGGCTAAGGTAGGTGAGAGGGTGGACAGTAAGCGATACTGAGCCATACCCACTTCTCTCCTCGTCTCGCCCCCAGAGACGTCAGCCAGAGTCACCGAACACTTCCTGCTCGATAGGAAACATGAGGCGAAGAGAGGGAGACCTGGACTCGCCCACTGCCTTTTTTAGTAACTGGGCACCTTGTTCTGCTATAGTGAGGATCCCGGCGCAATTTTTTCAGCAACACATACGGAGGCATTTGAAGTGTCACCAGGGAATTGATGGGAAGGGTTTCCAGCCGAGACTGAGCACACCCTCCGAGAGGTTAATCCGAGGTTGACTCTCGCCCGTGCCATGTATACTTGATACCGCCGAAATCCGGTGTGGAATGAACCCAGCGGCGAAGTTTTCTCCCACTGGTTGTTTTCTACCTGACCGGTGGACCATTGGTAGAAACTCCGACCGCGGAATGAGCTCATTCTACCGACATCGCCTCGCTGGCAGAGCACCTCGTTGTTGGGGAATACCCAATACCCAATAGCTGGGGGGGCGTCGTTATTTCCGTCGCAGTTGAAGAGGTCGCAATATACTCATGCTCTCACCCCGTCGGCGAAAAGCCGTGAGTTGGCGAGGGGGGGGGTTGTGCACCCCATTCAAGGGGGGTTGGCGCGTCGGATACTCACACGACATTCGACACATCCCCATTGCTGCTACCCGCTACTGGTTCATCATATTCGCCTGCGAGAACTGAACCCAACCGGCTCACAGATTCATAGCGCACCACCACTCCTCCCGCCCCATCTTTCCTCAAGTCGTTGGGCGGATCAAACCACACTGAAATGCTGACTACGACTTCATGCTATTGAACTAGCTTGGTATACGTGGCGCATCCTAAAAGGGATTTGCACCAGGACAAAAACACTTCACATTTCAAACCTTTCAACAATTTAAAGGGGATGCGATGTGAACAGCGCACAGAGGCGAAGCCTGTCAAGTAAATTGTAAATTGTATGTTTTTTTGGATTTCTAAGAGAACCGGGAAACGGCTGCTCTGACTTCACCGCATCGAATTCAACAGACTAACCATCACTTTTCTTCTCCTCCCGACAACTTCTGATGCAGACTTCCTTATCGGTCACCAAAGGCGTTTCGATATGGGCGGTGACGTTACCGCTCTGAAAATCTGTAGACTTGGCAAAAACCTCCAAATTTCTTTAAAAATCCTCGAGCGAAACCAACGTCATCAAGTTTCCCTCCAGTCACGGGGAACATCATTTTCCAGCATTCGTCTACAAACGACTTATCGTTTTTGTCGCCGGTGCTCCGCTTTCGCATAAACTGTGCTCGCAACACTCCATTCGCATGTGTTCCGATCTGCAAGGTAATCAGGTCCTCTCAGAATGCTTTGGGATCCTCAAGCACTGTTGGAAACGTACCACATTGGGAGTGAAAAGATCTTGTTGCTGATCCTTCGTTGGCGCTCCATAACCATGGCTAAACATATCGTGAAGACTGAGAACTCCCCCGAAGGATTTCACAATCATCATGTCGGCATTCACCTGAAATCATTTAGTTAGCTTATTCCCGTTGAACAGCAACAACAAGCTACTGACCATAGAGCCGTCTTTGCTGAGACCCAGGCCGGTCCAAGAGTTCTGCTTGAGCTTCGTTTCCAGAGAAAACTCAATATCATCAGAATCCTCGACGTAATTCCACGACAACTTGTAGTCACAATCCGAACATCCAGTTGGATAGCGGAAGTCGCCATAGCAAACATCACCGCCCACTGAAATAAGATCTAGGAATATATTTCCACAATAATTATCAGTCATAATTATTTTAGGGATACAGTCAGCGCTCTGTGATTATGTGGAGTTGGGCATAGCCATTGAGGGGTGCGCTGAGGATGGGAAAGGAGGGGGAGGGGAAGGGAGACGGGCGAGCAGGCATTTTTGATTGGCTGCGAAGGCCTCAGTCTGCCGTAGGTACGTCATGATGATGAGGGAAAATTGATTGTGCAGTACAATTCCTACCCTCTTATAACAAGCTCTACTCTTCCTCTACCGATAAATACAGTTGATATCAACGCAATCAGTCAGGAATGGGCCCACCCCGCGGCATTTTCTGCTATTGGTTGCATTCTACCTTAATCGGTCCACACTGGTATAAAAGGCAGCCATGGGTGGGCTCACTGCCGCCTCCTGACACCGCTGCAACTCACTGAGACGATATCAACAGGCCATATACGACTCCCGCCCCAGGGCGATTGAAATGCCACCATCACGTTGAGGATTACTCCTTGGCCTCCTTGGCTCAACCCGCTTATACCACAGCGCCTTCTAAGTCTTAAGGGCTCACTCTGCGATAATAGGCAGAATGGACCGCAATGGACATCATTGTACATGTTTTGCGTCATAAAATTGCATAGAGGCGCAAAGGTGCAAGATTGGTCATGTAACTCCGCCAAAGGTCAGTGACTCCACCCACGCCGCCCTTTGATGCTCTGTCGTTCCCTTGGTCTGGTCTTTCGTCCGAGACACTGAACGAGCCTTCGTTTCGTGGAGAGGAGGAGGGCTTTACTTGAGACGTTCCCTCTGTCTATTTTTCGTTGGGGCAAGTCAACCCTGGAGTTGGGCTAGACAGAAGCCGATCCGCGGCCTGTTCCCCTAACTAATACAAAACATTGTAAGTGGCATCGCCACTTGCTGCCGTCTCCATCCAAATGGAGGGACTCATCTCAAGCCTATCAAGATACCGGATGTTTGTTGCTATGCTTACCTTTGAGTTTTGTAGGTTTCTCAATCTTCTTCCGGGTGGTAGGAGCAGGTGTAGTTGTGGTCGCTTCAGCCGAACCTGCAAATATTATATCTTTCAAAACTCTTCTCCCCCATGTAGCGACCGATTTTCAACCTCCTAATACATACAGGTTTCAGAAGGACCCACCATTGACCGGGCAGTCTCCCCAGTAGACGCAGGTGCCTTGAGGATTACGGGCGTAACCCTGCATACAGGCACAAGCCGGTGATCCACACTCATCGCAATCGGAACGGGTAAAGATCGACACACAGTCTGCTTCACAGACTCTTCCACATTCAACAACCGTCTCATTCACGGCGCATCTCAGGCCTTCCGTGCTGGACGTCGTCGATGTCGTCGTTGAGGCTATTCGGGTCTGCACTGGTAAATCGACTGAAACCAAATTCTTTAGGTACAGGGTCACGAATATAAAGCTTTTATTGTAGGGAAGCTGCCTTCAGAACTGGCGAGATGCACTATGACGACTCACCAGAAACGGATGGCACATGCATGATCTCGGTGGTATGGTTCGATGAGGAATCGCTGTGGAAATGGCTGTCGATATCTGAAAAAG